CCATTCCATTGTGCTTTGAACTTGCTGCACAATTAGTCATGTGCATTTGATAGTTAATTCTATTAGAGATGGGGGACACCAACCAAAGCCAGCCAACCGCACGGGTGGTTTAAATGATGACGATATTTGCTTTGTGTGGAACTTTTATTATTAAATAAACTTAACTTGTATATTTTTACTTATTTCTGACAACACTATATAATAATTATCTCTTCCACAATTTCCCAATAAAGCGTAATTTTAATCCAAATAGAATCTAGTTGGTTCTTATTCAGCAATTACTTATCGACTCAGTCTCAGTTCGTCATGCATTGTTCTTTAGCTCCATACAGCTCACTACAAGCACTGACTCATAGAGAGATGTGTTCGTTGCGTTGTTGTTGTTGCTGTTTCCTGATGCAACTAAAAATAATCGGATGCGACCCACGCAACGCTATGATTTTTGTGTTGCTCCAATTTCGAAATGTCAAAATATGATGCCTTTTTGCTATTGCTCTTTCAGTCTCTCGGATTGGAATTCTGCTTGAACTGAGCATTCCTGGGTAATGGGTACTGTAGAAGCTCCACTAAGAAACACATTTCAACTTATTTGGGTTTGTATACATAAATTGTGGCTGGTATAAATAAGACATATTGGAAATGTGGCTATGCACTCTAGCGAGCTTTTACTGTAGCTCTGTGTTCTTGGCCAAATTTACGATGCAGTTAAACTGCTGTTCATTTTTATCGATACTTTATGCGCACGCACTTCTCACAAAACTTTACATGTGTCTTAAATATAAATGGCCCAGGCAAAGTGTATATTTGAGTACACAGGTGCAAGTGGGATTTCGAAATGAAAACAGTCAGTCAGTCAGTCAGACAGACGGGCAGACAGCCAGTCCGTCCGTCAGTTCGTGTTGAGCGAAATAAACAAGATATTGTGTATGCAAGACGTCAACTGGGTACAATTTTTTTTGTTTTTCATTATTCATTGCCTTTTGCTGTAGTTGACTTTACAATAGATTAAAGCGTTGTGCGCAATCACATGAAGAAATCCACCAAACTCAACTCGGCGCAGTGCATTTTAAACGTTATACACAATAACCGTTACAAAAGCCCAATGGACAAACAGAAAAACTACCAAGAGGCAGAGAGGGCGAAGATTGAATACTCTGACGGACATTAGACTGAAGGCGTGATTGGAAAATATTGGAGTTGGAACTCATACAAAATTCGACCAACTATCAAGTTTTTGTTTTTTCACTAGTTCTATTATTAGTTCAGCAGTTCATGCACGATAAATAACCTATTCAGTCGAACAAAAATGATTGTTCAATCCTTCACAGTAAACTGCAAAACAATTGAATTTATTACTCAATAATATAGAACATACGGTTTTTAACTGATTAAACAACACAAATTGTTGACGACAAATGAATTCTGAATAAATGACTAAACTTTACACGTTTACTGACAATTAAATATATTAAGTAAATAAAGTCATTAGTTCATTTGTTCATTTATAAACCATTTAATCGAATTCCTGCTAAAGGATACGACCCAACTCTACAAAATATAGTGTTAAGCTGAAGGTTGTTTTCAATTGTTTCACTCTTCATGAAAAGCTCATCATATATGTTATGTGCTATATGTCAAGAGTACTTCATACAGGGTATAGAAAAAGAGGTTCAAGAACATGACGCGCTGTGACTGCTGAGCGTTGGCATTAACCCGCTTGGGCCACCGAGCATAGAGAGCTCAGAGACCAAAAACTAAGAAACATACATAAATTCACAATGGGCAACAGCAAAAACAACAACAACAATTGGCGTCACATTAAGTTGGTAATAGAGAAAAGCCACGACTACACGTTCAATAATTGCAGCGACTACTGTAGAGGGCTGGTATGGGCGGTAGGCGGTTAGGAGTGCAGCAATGGGCAAAAATATACGTATATACTGAAAACATGCATTTTGCGATTTACGATTTACGATGCAAATGCGGCATGCAACAACAATGGCCAGCTGACCCCGTTAGCTGTTGAACTGTACAAACCTACATGCATGCATATAAAAAAAAACAAAAAAAAACTTAATTCGCATGTCTAACAAAATGCAATGAAGCATCCATCTATCTAGATTTTCACCCGCACTTATGAAATTCAGTGGATTGAAAACATTTTGTAATCGATAACACACAAAAATTAGGCTAGCTCTAAGCAGGAGGTCGGTCAGCGTTGCCTCAAAGGCCTCAGGAGAGCTGCAAGCGCTCAGGAAGAGTGCCTGAGTTAGAGCGAGAGGGCAAGTGTAGCGGCTCGCCACAGCGCTGCCAGAATTTTAGCAGCTAAAAATTCAAGCCAAGTTATATGTGAATTTAGCGCGATATTAATTTAGCTATCAACTACATAATTTAGTGCTTAAAATTTAGCTAGAAATTAGCTGAAAAGAAATGAAAATTGTATCAACGCCTGATAAAATATCAATTGAATTGCTACAAATACAATCGCCACCATTTAAGCTTACATGAAAAACAAACAAACGTAACTTTACGTCTAATGAGTTGTGTTAAGCGAGCCAATTAATTGAAAAGAAAACCACAAAAACATAACAGCGAAAAAGAAAAAAAAAGCAAAAGTCTGTCAATTGTCACATTGACGCAACCGAGTGAGACACAGAGGCAGGCGTACAGTGCAGCTCATCGCAATTGAAGTTAATTAAATACGAAGCAGAGAAATAGCAACAATTAGCTGTTATGCCTCTAAATGCGTGGTAACACCTTCGATATGGGAGATGTAGAGATGGAACCAAGTGCCGATCGTTTCAATCTGAATCATGTGAAAGCAGAAAGAGAAGATGGTAGTATATGAGTTATATTTAATGTGATTTATGTAAAAAAAAAAAAAAAAAAAAAAAAAAAAAAAAAAAAAAATTGGTAAATAAATTGAGAACCAACCAGCTTTATCGTTATGAACCGTAATGAACTATTAGAGCTATTGCTGATTTTCTAGCTATAATTTTGATCTGTGATTCTCGATTCAACTGTGCCTCATTCTAATATGCACATCTTTAATCTAACTTGTTGGGCCCACAATCTGGATCACGCACCCATCTCTAATGCTCCGCTTCTGTCACCGTTAATTACTTTCACTCTCATCGCCGTGACAAGCAGCAACAACAACAATTTGTCGACCCGCGCAATTGCCGATACAATTAACAACGAAAGCATAAAAAAACACGAAAAGAAACAAATTCGTTGGGAGCGCTCATTAGACGAGATCTCGCAGTAGTTTTCTAATGATTGTGAAAACGAAATTGAAAACTGAAAACTGAAAACTGAAAGTGATGCTTGTATGTAATCGAGTGCAATGTGTAATCGATTGCGTTATTATTTATGAGCAAATTGGTTTGACAACGACAAATACGACGACGGCGACGACGCAACTTGTTGCAASTTGCACGTTTCCTTTCCTTTCCTTGGCCTGGCCTGGCCGGGCTTGGCCGGGCTTAGCTAACTGCCTGACAGCGACTTTAATGGCAGCCTGTCTTATTTTTAGATGCGACTAGTTTGACTCGTTTCGCGGCATCCTTCAGAGACGGGGCAAGGTCGTGCTGTTTGTTGTAGTCACATTGTTGTTGCTGCTGTTGCCGCCAGCGCATCTGCCCCGCACGCGATTTACCCATCACAACAATAACAGCTGCTGCAACATTAGCTAATGTTGCGTTTTCTCCATGCCACACGCTGCCTCAATGCTCATTACGTAATTTAGCTAGTAAAATTTCTATTTACATTTTTATCGTACAATTTCCTGCCCACACGTTCAGTTGAGGAAGTGGCCCCAAACGAGCATTTGAACTTTTGACTATCCACGAATTCGTGCTCATAAAAGACGATGATTAATAAATATTTAAAGAAAAGATTAGCTTGAAACTAAGTTCAAACGGGAGTAACCACTTATTAAATTAGCCGCTAGTTAAATTTGTCTTCTAAATTTTGCGAATTTTACTATGATAATATCTAAATGAAAATATCTACATATTAATTTTAGGGTAGTAGTAGTAGTAGTAGTAGTGCGAGGGTAGTCCGAAATTTGTATTACCTTTACTTTTGGTGATATGTTTATTTTGTAAACTATTCTATAACTAGCGGGTATGAGGTCATTTTTCATAGTTCTATCCAACTAACGAGAAGATATTCCTAATCTCAATTAGTCATACTTAAAGAGCATCGCATGGCAACATTTCGAGAATCTGGAAATCGTTGTTCACGCTGATTTTTTCTTAATTAGTAATGGCATTTATTGAACCTTTTCGCGTGAAGGGAGATTATATTTATATAATTTTTATTATTTTATTGTATTTAGTTATTTCAAATCTTTATAATTTCCTATTGTTTAGCGTGAAAGTAAATTAAATTTACATTATTTTTCTTAGTATTTTCAAATATTGTCTATTTCTATTTTACTAAATATTTTTTTTAAATGTATTATTCTTAACTTAAATATTTTATTTTTTTAGAAAAAATAAATTTTGAAGTCAAAATTTGTAAATAAATAAAGTATTTTCTTACTCATTCATTTTTAAATTATTTTAATATTTTTGAATTTCTAAATTTAATTTTTTATAATTTATACTTATCATTTTCCGTATTGTTTTATTTTTGTATTTGTATTTCTTTTTTTTTTTTTTCATTAAAGCTCTCATAGTTTTTATAACATTTGTATTTTAAAATTTCATGTCATGTTAGTCTCTTCCCATACTTTCACACTTACTGTGCTCAAATTTCAATGCAGTGTCATCCCAGGCACAAAACGAAACGTAAAGCGAAATTTAAGCCTCGAGTGAACTGCAAATTTAGCATGAAATTGGGTTACCTTCACGTCTTATCGATTAGCAGGTGGGCGGATTGAAATAGCAGTCAACGTCCTTGTACCAAAAGCAGGGCGAAGTATATATAATTATAGATATATATCTATGTGCATATATATACATATAATAAAAGTCGTTTCTTTTATTTTACAGCTATGATACTGCTAGAGATGGTTTCCTGGATCTGAACGAGCTGAAGTATATGATGGAGAAACTGGGCGCACCGCAAACGCATTTGGGATTGAAGAAGATGATTGCTGAGGTGGATGAGGACCACGATGGAAAGATCTCGTTCCGTGAGTTCCTGCTGATCTATCGCAAGGCGCAGGCCGGCGAGCTGGACAGTGAGTCAGGTCTGAATCAATTGGCGCGCCTTACCGAAATCGATGTGGAGCAGGTGGGCGTTAGCGGCGCCAAGAACTTCTTTGAGGCGAAGATCGAGCAGCAGCTGCGCACAAATAAATTCCACGACGAGATCAGGCAGGAGCAGGAGGAGAGACGTCGCGAGGAGGAGGAGCGYGCACAGCGACGCCAGCAATTCCAGCAGCGTGCAGCCATCTTTCAGTAAAGCGGCAATCGGAGCGATTTCTACATGAAACTATAAATATATACATAAACTATAGAATTTGTAGTCTAGCACGTAATCCTTGTGGCGTAGGTTAAACAAATGCAAACAATTTAGGGACGTGTCAGTGCAGAGCAGAAGTTTTTTGATATCACATCACATCGTAGTATAAACTAATCATTCACATATAACTCACTATATAGATATATATGGTTATATACGTACATACATATGTGTCTCTCACACTTACATATAGTTAATGAGCATACCAAAATCATAAATTTTAATTGTGTTTAAGTGAAAGGAAAATTTAAATATGTATATTAATTTCCTGTTTAGTTATAAGAATTTTTTTGTAATTTTTCTGTTCCGTTTTGTTAATTTTTTTAAAGATTTCTGTATGAAATTTTAATTTCTTTTTTGTTGTTGGTGCCATTTTTTTATTAATTTGATTTGGTGTTTTGTTACTAATCTCATGTTTTATATTAAAAATTAAGTTGAAAATTTGAAAAAGCAAAACAAAATTACAAACTATATTAAAAAAAAAAAAAAAAAAAAAAAACAATTTCTTCTTTAACTTTTAAAACTTTGTTGTACATAAAATTTTTTTGCATTTCGAAATTTTCAAATACGTTTCTTGATTCATTTATAAATTAGGTTAAATATTTCAGTATTTTCATGCAAGCCGTTCAAGCAATATTAAAATATATTTTACATATAAACATATACATACATATATAAACATGAAAATACGAGAATACGATAATAACGGCAATTACTATATCTAAATATGAATAAATGTATATAGCGCAAATAAAAATAATGCGAAAATTTATTAAACTGACTTTTTATTATGCGAGAATATCGAATTGGCACTAAACGAAGCATGCAGATCTCTACTCTCCTTAAATATGATCATAGTCCTGGTAAGCCGATATCATTCGTAATAGGAAATGTCTATAATAATAATGATATTGATAATAACGAAATAGAAAATCAAGTTTAAGAGAAAGAGTCGAATAAAAATGCCAATGAGTATAAACGATAATGATGAAGATATATTATCATATGATAGCCAATAATATTGAATAAAATTATAATAATTGAACTGAAGATCCTAATAAATATAATCAATATATATTGACGGAAATTGTCATTAATATAATAATAATTTCCTTATTATTTAATTTGCACATTTATTATTTTTTTGCACACATATTAATATAATTAAAGCACATTTAATATTCAATAAGAAATATACAAAATATATTTAATAATTGTAATTACTTTTAAATATCTAGTATAGAGTAAAAATTTGTAAGGGATCTACTCAATCTTAAGTGTCCTTTTTTGGATTCAGCATAGAGCAACATACTCTTAATACTGTAAATTAAGTATAGTTAAGCATTTTAAGCATAGAACATCCAAAATGCTTTACGCCTTCGCTGGCTCAAGTTCACTGAGGGCGGCGCCGCGTCGCTGGGAGTGGCGACAGCGCAGCATGTCGCACTTGAGCGCATAGCGGTGCTGGCAGACGGGACACTGGTGCGGCTTCATCTGCAGATGATAGCCCTTGATGTGCTGGGAGAGTCCGTTGCGCCGCTTGAAGACTCGCTCACAGATGCTGCACTTGTATCTCCGCTCCGAGCTGTGGGTGATGCGATGCTGCTTCAGTCCGGTCAGCGAGCTGAATGTCTTCTGGCAGACGCTGCAGCTGTGAACAGTTCGTTTAGCCGCATGGCCGGCCGGACCAGCTGGATGACAGCGCCGCTTGGCCAGTCGCTTCGGTGGCTGCCGCTGGCGGCACTTGAGCTCGTGCCGCCTGTAAAAACGCCAGTGGGTGAAGCTAATGCTCTGGCAGTGCCGGCACTTGTAGCTCTGCAGCCGGGCATTGCGCAACGGCAGCGACTGGCAGATGTAGCGCATGTGCTGGCGCAGACCTAGCCGCGAGCAGAATAGCCGCAGGCAGCCAAAGCACTTGACGGCAAAGGTGCGCTTCGGTGGCTGCCCAAAATGCCGCTTGCGTCGCTTGTGGCCCAGCAGCTGCTGCACGCTGGCAAAGCGACGCTCACAGCGGGCGCAGCGCAGACGAGTATTGGCTCGCGAGTTGACCAAAGATTTCTGATTCGTGCGCAGCTGGCGACACGTGTTCTGCAGCCGCCTGAAGCGTGCGGCCAGCTTGGCGTACGCGTAGTTCTGAGACTGCGGTGCACTGATTGCCGGCTCAGCTATCAGATCATTGTATTGCAGGAAACTGCGCTGCATGTCCAGGATATCGATCTTCTTCTTGGCTGGCAGTTGCGGCGGCAGCCAATCCGATTGCCAGTAGTCAACGGGGGCGGCCAAGGGCAGACCAGCGCCCGCCGCAGCTGGCGGACACTCCAGCTTGAGTGAGCTGTGAGCTGTCTGATTGAGATTGGGCGGCGGCACGCTGACCATGGGCATGGATGTAGGCGTGACTGTGGGCGCTGGACCTGACGCGGGAGCGGGCGCGGGCGCGGGAGCAGGCGTGGCATGTGCCAGAGCATAGTGCTGCTGCAGGCTCTCAGCTGTGAAGAACTTCGTGGTGCAGAAGGTGCAATTGTGCAGGCGAAAGGCAGAGGACTGCACCACACTGTCGTTGAGCACCACAATATTGGGCTTGGTGCTGGCCACTGGTGGTGGCGCTGGTTGTGGCATCAGTTCGCAGATCAGCGGATTGGGTATCTCGCTGACATTCGTCACAATGGGCTTGCAGCTGCGCGCCTCAGCTGGAGCACTGGCTTGCGATTGCGATTGCGTTAACGGCTGCTCCTGCGGCTCGGCGCCCTCCACCTTCTCCGTTTTGTATTGCTGTAGTGGCGGCAGCTGCCAGTCCTCTTTGGCATAGTTGTGCTCCTCGCTGAGCAGCTCCGTTTGCGGCAGCACTGGGACATTGACGGGCTGCGACTGGACAACATCTGCATCGTCTGTTATGTTGATGAACGGATCGTCCAGATTGATAATCTCCATAATGTCGCAGTTGTTAATGATGTCCTGGGCATTGAGCATGGGAAAATTGCAGAACTGAAACTTTTGTTCTGTCTCGTCGTTCGTCTCCGGCTCATGGTCACAGCAGCCCTCGTCCAAACCCATGTCCAGCTCGTCTGGGAACAGATTCTCGAGACTTTCGCACGCCTCCTGTTTGACCCGTACCACCGGCTCCTGCTTGATCTTCAGCTGTCGCCGATATTTGCGCTGGAGTTCACCCTGGGCGACAATCACAACGTCGCAAAATTGCGAGAAACGCTCCAGTTGACGGCAGCAATCGCCACAGATTTCCTTCGGCAGGGGCAGAGTGTCATCTTGGAGGATTTGCAGCGTGGGAAAGCACTTCTGGATCATGGCAAACAGCTCGAAGCTCTTGTCAAACGACACGCAATTAAGCGCTGCAATGCCACAGAAGCGACAGGTGCTTCTCGTGCCGCCAGTTGCTGGGGTCTGCTGCGTCTCCACTGCGGGCCGCGTCACCTGCTCCACAAGCACATTTAATGCATCGTCTGGCATCCGAACTGTTGGCACAGCATTTTTCTTCAATGTCTTCCGATTGTTGCTGCAGTTGAAGTCGGCGTCCACGAAGTGGCGACTACAAATGGCGCTCCATTTGGAGGGCATCCACTGGCCACTGCGCTGCGTGAACTCTTTCCATTTCTGCAGCAAGTCCTTGCGCTTAAATGGAAATCTGCGACAGATAAAACGGACATCTTCAACGCCTCTCAATTTGAGTGGAAGGAAAAGTTACCTGTGAAACGATATGCTGCCCGCATGCACATATTTATCGCTGCAATTAACAACTGCACAGTGTGCGGGCATTTGGCATTGTCTCCTTGTTTTTCGGATTCAATTGTCAATTTCAAATATTTTCACTTTCTCGTTATAAATTTTACTTGTTTAACATTAGATGTGCATAATAAACAATAAACAACGCTCATAACATACATTACCAGCACTGTTAATAACATTACCATTCGAGATGCTGAATTACATACATTAAACAGCTGTTCCAGCTGCCGTTACAAAATTAAAACCATTTTTTTTTTATTTTGTATCCCTACCTGCACCTTAAGGCAAAATGCGCTAAAAGACACAATTTTAAAATTCTATAATGATATTTTGGCTACGATTTAAAGAAATACAAAACTGCTAAATAGTGCACGCAACAATGAGTTAACAGACACCGTAAACGCATTTTGGCTCACGAACGCGGAGGGAACGTACTAGTTCACCTCTTATCAGAGACAGCTGATCTCTTGCGATCTCCCACCTCCCAATTAACGCCTTCTTTGCTGCCCGCTGGCTATGCTGCTAAGTTAAAATTCTCTGGTCGCTCAGTAACACTGCTCTAGTATTTTGGCACTGTGGCTGGAGGAGGAACGAATAGTTTGTGACAAGGTCAAACAAGGTCCTCAGCGAGAACAAAAGTGAAAGTAAAACAAACAAAAAATGTCACAGCTGTTGAAAATGTCGAGAGGTCAACTGCGGCAGCAGTACAAATGCGCTGCTGCATTCACTTCAGAGCTGCTGCCCTATCTCGATGGGCAGCACAGGTCGATGTCGTCGGCCACGGGCGGCAAAGGGTGCGTGCATAGTGATAAGAAAATTCGACAACCAACGCGTGTTGCTTGTAAAGACGAGACAGATAAATTTAATTTTAGATTTTCGTCTATTGCGAATCAACCTAAGAATAATTCAATATTTTGCTCTTTAAGCACATCATAAAATTCATTGGAGTAAATTTCAGCATATTTTGTGGGACATTTTTATGAAAAGAATTCCATTCGTAAAAAAGTTCCCATAATTTGTTCTTGTTGTACCAATTAGACATGACTGAATCGAATCAGCTGTTCCATGTTTAACCAACTACTGAGTCTGCTAATTGATATTCCAATCAGATGATAGCACGGAGTATCTTGTTTAGAGTTGCCAGCGATGATGTTAAGATATTTTCAGTTGAAATTGGCCAATTAATGAACTAAATAGATTAATATTGACTTATTTTTATTTTTATATTTATTAAAAATACTTA